ACTATTATTATTATTATTGAACCTTAAAATATCATTAATGTCTTACAAAATTAATAAATCATTGTTAATTAATGTGCAAGTTAACCTTGGTGGAACATTTTGAGCATTCAGCGCATTTTTCTTCATATTCACATTCGTTATCATTATCAGTTAATTGCTTAACATAACCAAACACCGAAAATTTCCTAAATTTTTTTTCTATTTTCCTTAACTCATATGTCTTGCAAAAAAAAGGGAAAAATTTGCTAAAGTCGACTTTTTTTAATTTTTAATCTTTTTTTAAAAAAATTTTATCATTTTAAAATTTTACCTTCGTTGCGTGCATAACGAGAATTGCTTTTTATTTGCTTCGCTAAAGCAAACCAATTGTGCGCATTCTATTCCGATTAGATCATTGTAACAATGATAGGATGACATTACTGCCTATGATTTTAATCTAGTTTTTTTTTTGTTTTGTTCAATTGAAATATAGTTATTCATTTATTCAATTACTCAATTTTTTATATTACCCAATTGGAATATAATTATTTATTTACTCAGTTACACATTTATTATTCGTTTTTTCTTTTTATCACCGTTTTTTTTTAATCAGTTTAATTGTTTACCTCTCGATGTACCCACCTACATATTTTTTAACTACTATTGTCTACTTCTTCAATTTTTTCTTTTTTAGTCAATATTTACTTAGTTGTTTACTTACTTGACAATTTCTTTTTTTTTCTTTTAAAATAGATTGACTAATTTATTACCTTTGTAAAAATGCGAAAAGTTTGAATACAAATATTTTTCTTTTCAAATAATTTATAAATTATTCCTTACTCGAGCATAAATTGCCGATTGACTCAATCCGGATATGTCGGAAATTGATACCGGCAAAGTGGTATTGATATTATTAGTTGCTCGATTATTATTTACCGGATAACAAAAACGCATGTTATCATTTTCATCCTCACTATCGTCATTTAATGCATTCCCCGCATAACGTATTTGACGGCTAACCTAAAAATAATTTTTGAAAAATTCAAAATATCGTTAATTTTCGAATCAAAAAAAATTTCATCTTTTCTCTATTAACTTATCATTGCTTTCTCTCTACTAACTTATCAATGCTCTCTCTCTACTAACTTATCACTGCTTTATCTCTGCTAACTTTTTACTGCTTCTTCTTTATTAAATTCTCCGCTAACTAATCACTGCTTTTCTCTGTTAACTTATCACTTCTTTTCTCCATCAACCTATCATTGGCTCTTCACCAACTTATCACTTCATTTTCCTATGCTTAATTTAACTTATCGTTTTTTCATTTTTTGATTTTTAATGTTACTTGTAGTAATGCATAGCCATTATTGCATACAGCTACTCGAAGTATATTAACAATTTGATCACACGTCAAACGTCGTACGTCAACGTCATTCACTTGCAATATTTGATCACCTTTGTAGAGAATTTTTGACTGTAACATATGGAAAATGCCGAAAGGAAAAGAATTTTTCATAGTTCTAATCAAATATTACCTGCATCTGGATGATATGATAAAAGTATTAGGAAAGATAAAATGATTATCATTCGCATTTTCATATGGCTTATTTTTAGATATGAAAATTGCTTTGATATTGAAATTCGTATAAAAATTGCTTAATTCGTACATAATTAATATAAATTTTAAGCATAAATTTAGAAGTATTTCATTTTTTTTTTTACTAACCTAAGCTTATTCAAATTTCAGGTTAATTTTTTATAAATCACAAATTTACATTTAAAAAAAGAAAAACTAAAAAGTAATCAAAAGTAATCAAGGTAATCCAATTAATCATCTGTTAATTGTTAGCTCAGACTATTAAGCATTTTTTCTTTATGTCATTTACTTTTTCCAAACAGTTTTTATGCTTAAATTCCATTATTATTACTTTTTTTTTCTGATAAACATGATTTAATAGATATCTCAAATAGGAAAAATGATAAATGATAAAAAAAAGAAGAGGAAAAACTTTTAATCATCAGAAATTGTTGTTTATTTTATTTTTTCTTTTTTGTTTTAGTTTTAATTTTTGGTCAAAAATATTATAAAAATCATTCATTTATTTACTTTTAATTACCATAGAATACCTGTTTTGACTTCTGATTTACGTACTGTATGAAAACACCACGTGTTTTGCTTCCGGATAACCGAAAAGCTAACGCACCATTAATGGACGGATCCGGTTCCAATCGTATTTTTTGTTCCCATTTATTTTCATATTCATCGAATTCTTCAGTGAATAAATTTGCAACATTTGTCTGTTTATTTTGATCGATTATCAATTGATAATTGTTATTACACATATGCTGGAAATCAATTTTGAAGTGATAACTATTAATTATCAATTTGATAAGCAAAATGTTTAAAATTATTATGAACGTTTGAGAATGAACAATTGTTATATTATGCACAATGATTTCTTCTTAGAAAAAGCTCATTTTTTTTTCTTTTTTTTCACTACTTAACTTCAGCTTATTTTTTCAGCTTACGATGTTACGTGAAATTACAAAAAAAAAAAAAACGTGAAAATTCATTCGCCTGAAAAAAAAAACATTTATACATACTAATTATCAATTTGATAAATAAAATGTTCGAAAAATTATCACGAACGTATGGCAATAATCAACTACCACAGTATACTATGTTAATAAAGAACATATCATAATTGAGCATAAAAAAAAATGTAAAAAAAAGGAACAAAAAGGAAAAATGTCAATTTTCCCTTTTAATTAAAAACTAGAATTAATGAATTTCATATAATTAAAAAATATTCAATTTTTTATATAATTAAAAAAATTCAATCAATGAATTTCATATAATTAAGAAATGTTCAATTTTTCCAAACCTTCAAAATTGAGGAGATATTAACCAGAGAGAAAAACTATGCTGCTTCATCACTTATAATTAATGTTTTTAATTAATATATGCTGAATAATAATATCATGAAATCTTTCCTTCGAACTCCATATCTATCCTAAAGCTTAATTTTGAAATTTGTTGTAAATGTTCGTATCTGTGGCTAAATTAAACATTTTTTTTTGCTTTTTCTTGCTTGATGTGTTATACAAATATGTTCATCATAATATTGTCACATTTATGCATACTAATTATCAATTTAATAAGCAAAATGTTGGAAAAATTATCATGAACGTTTGGCAATAATCAACTACCACAGTATGCAATACGCCATATTAAATTAATAAAGAACATATCATAATTGAGCATTAAAAAAATTTAAAAAAAAAAAAGAACGAAAAATGTCAATTTTCCCTTTTAATTAAAAAATTAAAATTAATGAATTTCAAATAATTAAAAAATGTTCAGATTTTCATGCCATATTTAGCACAAAAAAAATTTTTTTCAGTACTTTAAATACATTTAAAAAAAATTATAAAATGCTCAATTTTTTGATAATAAATCCGCACCAAATTATAACGAAAGCAAGCAACATTTAGTTTGGGAAAAGGTTAATTTTTATCCAATAATATATCAATCGGTAAAAGTAATCGCATGATTGTTTTACATTTAATTAGAAATTATCAAATTAGAATTCGCTTTATAATTAGAATTTAAATCATAAAATTACACCAGGAAATATAGCTCATTGTTAATTACACCGGAAATATAGTTTTGCATTATAGATCATTGGTTTAATGAAAAATCGACAAATTATC